GAAATGACCACGAACGCATCATGAGCGTGGAATGTAGTCATGTTCTTACATAACACGCATGTCATGATTTCCTCGTGAGGGTCTCTCACTTACGTCATACCATACCAGTTTTGCGATATGTCATGTGAATGAAACCACCGCAAGGGCATGCAGCAATACCATGAAACGTAAATCATGACATTCATGACACACATGTTATGATTTTCATTTTATAACTAGTCATTTATGCCCGTCGTACGGTCATGCTATGGCATACCAATTTCGGTATAGGTCCCATTATCCAAACGGCTAGGAGAGCTAAAAGTCATAGGTGGCTAGATAGATAGATATATAATGATTGATATGTGGGGTTTAACGTCCCAAAACCACCATATGATTATGAGAGACGCCGAAGTGGAGGGCTCCGGAAATTTCAATCACCTGGGGTTCTTTAACGTGCACCCAAATCTGAGCACACGGGCCTACAACATTTCCACCTCTATCGGAAATGCAGCCGCCATAGCCGGGATTTAATCCCATGACCTTCGGGTCAGCAGCCGAGTACCTTAGCCACAAGACCACCGCGGTGGGGCATAAATAGATGGATGGATAGATAGATAGATAGATAGATAGATAGATAGATAGATAGATAGATACATAAATAGATATACGGTCAACTCGCGGGAGTTCGCTAAGAAATGTTCATTTAGAAGAATTCTCACTGGGATACGGAGAGCAAACCTTACAATCAAGCCCAAAAAGTGCTTCTTTAGCTACCAGGAACTCAAGTTTTTCAGCCACATGGTGAGCCCGGAGGGGCTCAGCGCGTGGCCAGATCTGAAGAAGTTGGCTGCCGTCGCCGAGTACCCTCATCATGGCGATAAGAAGGCTGTTCAGCAATTCCTTGAACACTACTGCCGTTTTGTCGAAGGATTTTCGAAAACTCTGGAACCTATTGTTAATTATTAGAATAAAATGACGATGGAGTGATTAGCGCGTGGAGGGCGTGGCGCTTGTGCGGGACTTGACATTTGGAACGGCCAATAATGTACGAGTTGCAACGGTGCTCTGGGCAATAAAGTCCCTCGATTTTCCGTCTTACCCACGGGAAGGCTTCCTGAGACATTTTATTATGCCGAGAAACCCTAAACATTTCTTATCCAAGCGACCCGGCAACAAAAAAGACTTCAACGGCTAGGAATGGTTTAGATCATGGGTAATCGATTGGTTCCACGAGCTTTACACGCGTCTCCATAACGAGACAAGTGAACTCATTGCATCGGGCCAGTTTATCTCCCCGACGCTTCAATTTCTGCACGACCGACTGAAGAACTGCAACGGCGTACTACGCCGGGTCAACGTACAACCGGAAGGACTCCTCACGGACGAGCAAACATCTGAGAACTACCTATCGGCCTTGGAGTATGAAGACAACGCAGCAACAATGCTGCCCCTTTTCTCGTATCACATCCAGCAATTTCAGCCTAAAAGGATGGTGGACCGAGGCTTACCGATACCCAACGATGATGTGACTCCAGGTACGGCTTCAGGAAATCGTTCCATCAGTGATGCTTCAAGACTACCGGAAATTAACTTGGTTCACTTTAACGAAGCAGTGCTACAGTGGCAGCCGTTCTGAGACGTGTTCAAGCATGCAGTCTGTACAAACACCGGCCTGATGAACGTCGAAAGATTTCAATACCTGAAATCATTTTTGGTAGGATCATCGGCCAAACTGATCAAGGGAATTCAGGTGACGGATTATTCACATGCAGATACCATCTGAATTCTGACCAACCACTTTGGAAACACAAGGATCATCGAGCAGATGTACTTGGAGAACTTTAGAATGCTCAAGTCCGTACGAAGTTACACTGACGTGGCCACCATGAGGAATCTCCTAGATATGGTGACTATAAACGTGAGAGGTCTCAAGGCAATAGGATGATCGGAGGTTTTATACGCTGCAAGGCTTTTCGAGATTCTGAACAAGGTGATCCCCACTGACATTGTGGATGAACATTACAAGCAACAAATCTCACCACAAAGGCCCAACGAGACTCATTCTTCAGAGACGGAACTACATCAGTTCTTGGACCATCTGCGGCTGGAGGTAGCACGAGTCCTGTGGCCAGCACCAGTCCTGTGTTCGCGACACACCTGAAGGAAGGCGTGACAGGAGGCCTATAGTGTGACGCCTACCACTTCCGTATAGCTCAGCAATTCAGAGATTACAGCGAAGAAGGCCAAGAGAGCATCACAGCCGCGAATGAGACAGCCTAGAGCACGACAGAATAAAAATGCTAGTGCTTCTAAGGTGAACAAAGCGAATACAAGAAAACCAAGGAAACTCTTTAAAATGGGCTGCAGGAGAACATCGGGAAAAGTCGGCATAACGGATGTTTGTGGCGACGGAAACCGATCATCGAAAGCACAAGTTCACCGAAGGCGACGCGTTCAGAAACACGAGCGTGGCAGAAACGTCAGAAGCACCAATGAAAGAGCAGGCGCAGGAGGAAAGCCGGATTGTCACAAAATGATTGACCTGAAATTGGTACAAGTACTCGTGGACTACCAAAATGTGCTTAGAACGGGGTGCATTAGTTTTTTTATTGTCAGGCGTCACTTTTTGAAAATAGCACAGTTCGGTCATGTAAACTAGGAATACCGAACGACTCTCAGCTGTTCAGGCCTGTACAAAACTCGATGTTTTAAAACTCGCAACATCAGACCCCGGAATGTGTTAAATATTAGAGAGTCATTCCACGCCAACTGTCCCAACATTGGCGCTCGACCATCTTTTGTTTACTTAAAAAAAATCAGAACTACCTACCTGAAGCCAAACGTGTTTCCCCAAAACATTTTCTGCGAAAAAAAATTCCAGTACCGCAAGCCTCATTTGATTGTTTTCAGAAAGCTCAAAACCATAGCTCGTGAAACATGTCATCGAAAAATCTGTTATTCTTAAATGAGGTTAAGACAAACGTTTACCTTTAGAACAATGGTAGGCGTTTTACTTGAAAAATTTTTTACGAGCTTTTAATCGACACCAAGGCGATTCTTGGATTGGATTTGGAAAAGGCTTTTGACAACATATCGCACGCCTTTATTCTCAAGAGCTTGTCTGAGTTTCACGTCGGCAAGCGGGCGTACAATTTTGTGCGCTCCTTCCTTTCGTCGCGGTCCACAAGACTGAAGATTGACGATTTTTTGACCCACGAAATTACCCTTGGGCCAAAAGGGACACCTCAGGGGGCGGTGATCTCCCCGACGCTGTTCAATATCTGCATGATCAACCTGTCGAGGGCCTTGAACAAAATCCCGAACATTAACCACACGATCTACGCAGACGACATCACCATCTGGTGCCTCAGCGGATGTGAGGGTCAGGTCGAGAGTGCTTTGCAAGAGGCCATCGATGTGACGGAGCGCTATCTCATCCCCACCGGGCTAAGGTGCTCGCCCGCTAAGTCCGAGCTCTTACTGTATAAGAAGAGGCCCAGAGGCGGTTCTCACCGGTCCTGGAAGCCAGCAATGGAGAGCCACATTACGTTATTCACCGGTAACGGCTCCCCAGTTCCGCGGGTGGACACTATCAGGGTCCTTGGAATGTTTATCGAGTCTAACGGAGCCAATGGAGCCGCCGTCAAACGCATTTGTTCCAAGACCGAAAGCGCCCTCGGACTGATTCGAAGAATCGCTAACAGGCACCGCGGAATCAGGGAGGACAATCTGATCCGGATTATCCACGCATTCGTGCTATGCCACCTCGCTTATACGGCGGCTATGCACAACTGGCTCGTGTCGGAGCGCAACAAAATCAATGCCCTAATCAGAAGAGTCTTCAAGCTGGCCCTTGGCATTCCCGTTCGAACGCACACGGAAGACCTCCTGAAGTTGGGAATCCACAACACGTTCGAAGAAATTGTCGAAGCCCAAGAGTTTGCACAGTTTGTCAGACTGTCTGGCACCCCAGCGGGTAGAGCCATACTCGGCATGCTGGGACGAAACCCCACGGTTGTTGGTCCTGACGCTGTGAAGCTGCCCAGCGACGTAAGATCCAAGATCCAGATTGCGCGGATGCCGCGCAATATGCATCCAACCTACAACGAAGCACGAAGACGAGCCAGGGGTAAATCTCTGCTCGCCAGTGCCCGCTTGGACAAGGATCGAGCCTGCTTCGTCGATGCTGCTTCGTACATTCAAGAAGAAGCCTTCTCCTCAGTGGTCGTCGACTGTGATTGCAGAGTCATCAGCTGCGCTACCATCCGCACTTCTAGTTCCAGCGTTGCAGAGCAGGTTGCCATTGCTCTTGCATTGACGGACGGTGTACATGACACAATTTATTCAGACTCCAAGGCCGCTATCAAGGCCTTCCAGATTGGCATGGTGGCTCCCCAGGTCCTACAGATTATTCAAAAAGTCAAAGACCTCAAAAATCACTCATTGGTCTGGTTTCCTGCGCATCTTGGAACCATTGAGGGTGCCTCGCTCAATCCCAACGAGGAGGCGCACTCGGCTGCACGAGGTTTGACTGACCGTGTGCCGGGTAACGCGTCATCTCCTGGGCGACCTGAGCCTCTCTGCTCGTACAACGAGATATGCAAGCACCACTATCTGTCAAGAAGACTGCTGCCTCTACCACACTCCTCGCTATGCAGGGCCCAAGCTGTTACTCTCCGACTGCTACAAACAAACACTTACCCGAGTCCTGCGGCACTGCACAAAATGTACCCTGAACGGTTTCCAAGCCCGGACTGCCCCCTGTGTGGTGGTTATGCGGACTTCGAACATGTACTGTGGGGCTGCGCCTCTGCCGGTCCCCCTTTCACCCAAGAGGAAATGAAGCGACTCATCAAGGCCCAGGACCAGACCTCTCAAATCCTGGCCGTCCAGAGGGCCCGCGCGAGGGCCGTCAGGTTTAACCTGATGGTCCCCGAGTGGGCCTAGCCAGGTGACGCTGAGTTTACTCGCGTCTATTGTGGACCAAATAAAGTTGTTTCACTCACTCACTCACGAGCTTTTAATTTTTCGTGCATTCTTTATGTGGTCTCGAATATAAAAAGTCTGGTGCGTATTGTGGATTTTTTCATAAGAATACAACATTAGAGGAAACATCATAGTTGACATTAGCATATTTACAGAATGTTTTACTGTAGACCAAAACGATTTCAGGCGTGTACAGTACAAAATAAAGTTTACAGGTGGCAACAAAGTCGGAAAAATGTTCATTTTTGCACATGTTCGGCCATAAATTAAACATCGAGGTGGCCCTACTAAATACACGCTCAATGGCAGATTTAGTAGCAACCTTCATTGGCAACCCAATCAGAAAGTTTTATCAAATCTATTTTGTTTTAAGTGAGAAAAATGTTTTTGAATTTGTGTGTTACCACTCTCAGGGTCTGGACGTTTTTGTAGCCATAACAATGCGTTTTAGCAGTAAGTACAAGCTGCAAGGACGTGTGGATCATCTGGAAAACGTATAATAAATTTTTATCGTGCTTATTAAAATTATTTACAAGCTAGTATTACCGTTAGTTAACGAGAAACGCGAGACCTACATTCAGCTACATGCAGCCGTCCGCTGGCAGCCTGCGTATACATATATGCTTACCCAGCACCGAGAAGTGGTACCGATGTGTGCAACACACCGCTATCTATATGCTAACATTTAGACGTAGGAAGAGCGCGATGAAAGGAGTTGCAGTTATATTTATTGAATATTCCACACACTAAAAGCCTGCCGCAATTGTAAAATGAACAAAGATACTAATGACAATAAAAACAAGCCGAAAGTGATTCGGTCGTTGGCACATGACACGAGGGTAGGCATTACAGCTTGCATTACGAGGCGTAAGCATCGTGGATATGCTTGAAGCCCGGTGCATGAGAGGGCATTTCAAGGGACGTGTGCAGCTGGGGTGGCGGGAGAGCAGGTGCTGCGCCAGCGTTCAGGTGCGGCTGAAGGTAGTGCGCGTAGGCTTGGCTGTGAGCGGACGACGGCCGCGGCGCCTGGACTGCGCCACGAGTCGAATCCGGCCCTTCGGTTGGCGCGTGCAACTGGTGAAAGCAGGCATAGAGTTGTTTGCGCTTCGAGGCAGCGTAGAAGCCGCACCAGCAGCAGGCGGTCACCGCAGCTAGGATGGCCACGGAGACAAACAGCAGGGCAGTCTCTGAGTTTAGCAGGGACGAGGATTCTGCGAGGAGTGAGCATGGTAAAGTAGCTGCACAGCTGGGAGAGTCAAGGCGGGGCCAGTTGGTTTCACCTTAAAAAAATCTGCGTGCCACTAATAAATGAAATACGAAGTAGAAAGAACCAGAGGGCTGAATAGGTGAAAACTAAATGGCAAAAAAGTCAGAAACAGTGCTAGTTCAGTTTTTTATGTTCCCCTGTCTTCGTTATTTGGTGCTGTGCAGCTGTTTGATCCTGTCGTACGAAGTCGTCCGCGCTTCTTGGTGAAAGCGCCTAGCAGCCTTATGGCAAGCAAGGACACTAAGATACGAGCTGGGCCCTTAAGGACATCGGCCGCAGATCGGAGACACAAGAATGTCCTTGTAAGTACATCTATTTACCGAATGCACCAGCTTTCGTGAGTGAGCCTCAAAAAAAAAAAAACCATCGCACAACCTGTGGGTAGAGTTAGACGCATGTAATTTGTTCCATATTAGGCAATAAAACAATGATAGGTCCAAGGTATGCGAATTCCGAGTTTTACAAGGGGACTTAAATGTATTTGTCAGGGCAGCAACTGCTTGCATAAATAGCGTCTAAGCACCCATGCTTCCTCAGCCCTAATAGTCGAGGAGAATAGAAAGAAGGCGCATCGAATATGGAAAATTATTGCTAAAGGAAATTCGAGAAACAGTAGGAATAGTAAAAAAAAACCAGTGTGGCCCTGGTATATAATTGTTAGAAGCAGAAAGTATAGGTAGGTAATGAAAAAATCTAGGGTTTAACGTCCCAAAACCACGACCTGATTATGAGGGACACAAAGTGGAGGGCTCCGGGAATTTCGACCACCTGGGGTTCCTTAACGTGCATTTAAAGCTAAGCACATGGGCATAAAACATTTGCACCTCCATCGAAACTGCAGCCACCGTAGCTGGAATAGAACGTAGGTGGTGATACACTGCTATTGGCTTAGTGGCATGATTGACAAACGCAGGAATGTGTCTTCACATGCAAACAGGCGTTTTTCTCGCGAATGACTACTTGAGTGGATAAAGCCATAGGCAGAGATTAGACAGACAGACATAAAATATGAGAAAGCAAAGGGAAGACAAAAATAAGCGCACTGAAGAAATTGAGGGGTTAAGGAACGGCGTAATTACTCCAATAACTTAGTACAGATTCTTCCTAATTTCTTTTTTGTACTTTCAAGGAGACAGCGCAGCCCAGATGGGTGAGGATGTAGAGTAGAACCGAGACTTGACCCGGTATATTTTTCTGAAAATAGTACACGTGTACGCGCACTCTCGTAGACTGGCTGGGGCGCATATGCATAACGATTGGACTGGATTCAAGCCACGCGCCGTAATATTGAACATCCACTGCTTTCACGAAGCGGCAAGAGATCTCGCCACCGGCACCACTGAAAGGTCGGCCATGGGCTGCTCGCACGTTGAACGAAATGAGCGCGCGCTGCGAGCCAGGCATGTTCTGCTCGAATTCTGCTCGCGTTGTCCGCCACGTGCAGGGTCGAATTTTCGCTTTTTGGCGGTGACTTCGCGCTTTCAAACTTGAATAAGCTTTTACTTTTCCCAGGCTTGGTCGGCGCAGCTATTGTGTACGCAGCCGTAACTTTTAGCGCATTTGGTCCAGTTTATTATTTTTATTTTACTCCTTTTCAAGCATCAACATTTCATAAAACAGTCATTTATATCAGTGACGTAATAGTTGGCACAGGTGTGTTAGGTTTCTCTTTGGATTGTCCAGCAACGCGCGCGTGTTTATAACGCGGAGTCGCACTATGAGTCGCCACGCCCACCGCACGTCTGACCCAGCTTCTGTAGCGCGTAGAGGGGAAAAAATCATTACGTGTGACCTCCTTCAGTGTGTAAGCCAGAGCTGCGCATGAAGGATAACCAGCCAAGTTGTCTCAAATCTCATATGGGAGTACGTGACCGACGATGTCGCAATTGGCGCAGCACGCAGACGAGGCTCACGTAGTTCTGCACTAACAGTTTTTTTATATCACAACAGACACCGTCACCACGCGGTACACCTTTGTGATACGGCTTAGTCGTGCAACAGGAAAAAAAAACCTTTTAATTGTGTGTCTTCTGTTGAGATCCTTTTCATTTACGTAAAAATGAAGGTTCACCAATTAAGGGCAAACCTTTGTCTCCAGTGTTTGAGCCAAACTTCTCAGAATAGTTCGGCGATACGAAGTTGCTCTCGGGCACGATATTGTAAAGTGTTTTATTTCAGTACATTGTGGGCTCTCTTTTACAACTCGAAGACAGACTGGCCCCTTTCATAGAAAAACACGTGTGTAAACCATAAATGCTATTCAAAGATGATTTTAACATTAAAGACGAAAACTTTGCAAATGGTCACAACTATTTTGTTTTGGCTCCAGAAATTTACATATATCGTTAAAATCTGGGACGTTGAAAAGTTAAATTACATTCACGTACATAATTTTGCTGCGAAGACGTAAGATCAAAATATTCAAAGGTGAGTTTATGAGAGTAAAGGGAATTGACACGCAAATAGGACGGCAATGTTTTTTGTTAGTTTATGACCCACAAGCAAAATATCATAAGCTATCACTTATTATGGTGCGCGTTTATATAGTACATAATACAGTGTCGAACTTTCACCAATATTCTACCTAAAGAATGGTGGTATCTACTTTTGAGCGAGGCTAGGAATGATAGCCTTGATTGTTGAACAATTTTTTGGAAGTCTTGATTTTTGCTAAATTTAAACAGAATCGAGGGCCGGTATTTGTATGAAACAATAAAATAAATGAGTCACTTGAACTTTTCAACAGGGAATCGCTATAATTTCAAAGGCTACCCCAGAAAAGTTTAGTGTTATGTACTGTGCCTCCGGTACAAATGTCTTGGAGATATATGTGAAAGCAAACTTCAGCTTCGTTAATGCATGAAAGTTCTCATATAATGGATAACAGTAGGTCACAAACGCAAATGCAGACTGATAAATCTAATTGCTTCCGGCAGGCTAAGCACGAATTGATTTTTTTTTCTCGAAAATCTCGTGCATATAGCAAATATTCGTCGGCTGGGTGTAGTTCGAATAACTAGGGCAGCAAATCCACAGCGTTCTCTCAAGCACAAACGTACTCACGATAAGGCTCGATGAGAATGCGTTCTCCCTCGCCGTCATTGTCAAGGTCACCGACTACAAGGCTCATCTGAAACGGCAATCGAACGTGTAAGCGTTGCTGTAGAGTAGCGTGTTCTGTAACGTGCATGGCATTCACAGCAAGAGCTCCATGAACATACGCGCCAGTGTGACGATAGCAGAACGCTAGCGTTTAACTGTAGATTATCTGTCCACGTATCGCATATGGTAGCAAACCGTACGTATGCTGGTGAGTAAGAGTCATTAGAAGTGACAGACTGGATTCCAAGAGAAGGCAAACACGCCAGGAGGGAGGCATGCGGTTCGGCGCGCTGATCAAATTAAGTTTGTGAGGAGGATAATGTGGCCACGGAAAGCACATGACCGGGTTAACAACATGGGAGATGCCCTTTCCCAGTTGTGGGCGTCAGAAGAAAAAAAAAAGTGCTGTGCGAAGTATGCGACAACTTCACGCGCGTAACTGTACACGTGTGTCCAGTTGCTCATGACGTATAGAAAGACGCCTATCAGTAGAGCACACCCCATTCTGTCGGGTCAGCTTTAAAGGATGGTAGACAAGGCTAGCAGATACTGCGTTATGTTACAAAAGTGATTACTGCTACTGTGAAGCTACTCCAGAGAAAAAAAAAACACCTGATTATGTCACTATCGCTGCTTCGTACTGTTAAACAAAACTTAAAATGAACAACAAGCCGTGCCACTTCCCGTTGCACCACCTTGCGGACGCTGGCACAAAGTGGCCGAATGCTTACGAGCGCGTATCGCACGATCGCATAGCTGTGTGCTTTGCCCAGTGGCAAAGGGGCAGGCCTGTTTCCACGGTGTACCCAGCAAAGCCTTTGCTTGTTACGATAAACCTGGAAACAGTGTCTCCTCGGTCAGGGTACCTCCTTTTCCGGTTTCATGAAAGCCAGATACAGTCATTGAAAACAGCAAAAGCATTACATTTGGGCGCAATCACTTGCGAAGATTATTTTCATTGCAAAGGCCCTGCAGCATCTCGAACGCTTCTCAGAAGATGGGGAAAAAGACGCTGCCGCGAACACGGGGATGAACTGATCACGCCAGTCATAGATGGTGGTACAGTAGTGAGCACTGTTAGGGTGAACACGCGAGCGCGTGGCCGATGGCACTATCAGCGCCACGTAACAGCCATCGTTGGAAACTTTGCACATGCTGCGCATGTGCTTTGCGAAACACTTTCCACCGCGCGCAACACGTCATCGATACGCTTGCTCGTCGTCTGCTAGCCGCATTTCTTGTTCGCTGAGCAGATAACTTCTGCATTTCAAGGTTAATCTGGATTGAAGATTGGCGCTTGAAGGAAAAAAGCGAGTGTAAGAGGGATAATTATCAAACTTTTAATTCAAGAAAATTGCACTTTTGGAATTCAAGTTAAACAAAACCATGAGAACAAATATAAAAACATGAGTAAATCTAATAGCAAGTCATGTTACCACTTACAGCAACGACGGCAGCTATTCTGGATGGTAACGAGTCGTAAAGTGATCGAACATATTCTCAATTGGCTTTCAGCCTTTCCCACTCGTTGCTGACTTGCGCCCACAACTGGTCCGAAGTCGCGGAATAAAGGGGCTTCCTTGCCCACGAAGCTTTCAGACGACACCACATGTTTTCTATCTCATTCAGGTCCGCTCCTTTTGGAGGCCATTCCAGTAGCTGCATGTGCTGCTCCGCCTGGAACTTCTTGACAGCCCGCACCGTGTGTAATGGTGACCGGTCCTGTTGGAACAGGTAATTACCGTCTGGGAATAAACTGCTTGCATATGACAACAGCACATTGTTCAAAATGTTGCAGTATTGTTCCGACGATAAGTGTCCACGTATACGTTGCAGGGGCCCTAAACCATATCTTTAAACAGCACTCCACACTCTCGCACTCGATCTCCCACTGGCAGAAACACCTTGCCCGTTGTCTGGGTCGTTCCTGCGTGGCATTCTGACGTTAACTAAAACATTTGCTTTTCAAAGCAGGACGTTTGCCTCACCGTGTGCCTGGTAGTCTCCAAACACGCAATCTTTGGTCTTGTCGCGTCGGAAACGTGGACTCATCCGAAAAGATGACGCGACCCACTCTTCTGATCTCCATGCTTTGTGCAACTCAGCGAACTGCCGTCGTGCGTCCTTGTGTGCCGCCGTTAGTAGTGGCTTCTGCGCTGCGACGCGACTGCGAAGGCCCGCAGTACGCAGGCGACGTCGAGCAGTGGTGTCCGAAACGTCCAAATCCATGTCCTCGCGTATTGCTCGGGCTGGCAAGAAAGGGTTACGAACAGCAGCTGCAACTATGAGGGCGTCTTCATCGTCTTTGGTAGCTTTAGGGCGGGGCACGCGGGGTGCATCCTGAATGCGACCTTCATTCTTGTAGGCTTGAGTTATCCTGTTCACAGTCTTCAGGGGCCTAATAACTAAAGCGCCAATATACCACTGGGAATAACCTTGCAGGGAAAAATCGACAATTGAGCGCCGTTCATAATCAGGAACCCTAGCCATAATACGATCTGGCGACAGAATGAACGGCTGCAAAACATGTTTGGTTGCTTTATATACGGCGTTGCATGCGCAACTTTGAAGGGAACGAATAGACACGCCCCCATAGATATAAAAGTTTTTTGTCTTGTTCTGTTCAAGTACAAATGTTTAAAGAAATCTTAAAATGCAAGATGCATGGGCTTAGAAAACAAAAATGCGGCTAGCAGACGACGAACAAGTGCATTCATGACGTCATGCGCGCGGCGGAACAATTATTTCGTGGCAGGCGTGATGCGCATGCGCAATGTTTCGAGTGATGACCGTAACGGGGCGCTGATAGTGCCGTCGGCCACGCGCTCGCGTGTTCACCCTAACAGTGCTCACCGCTGTACCTCCTCAAGCGACGACGACATTGACAGTGCGGCCACCGCCGGACATCGGTGAGCATAGTTGGGGTGAACACGCGAGCGCTTGGCCGTGTTCCGCGCAGCGCAATTGTGCTGCAGCACACTTGCGCACCGAAATGTAGCGACGCATGCGCACACGGCAGCTGCTTTACGTCGTCGGCTATACACAGCTTGAACGCGCCGTTACGTAGTAGCCAAGCGCCGGTGTCGCTTGCATGTAGTACAGCAAGATTAATATGTGGGTTTGGTTTGGTTTTTATGGTGCATAGGCAGCTTAGGCCATCATGCACCAAATTGATATGCGAAATTTAACGTCCAAAAACCACCGTATTAAGTATAGCAAAAGCGGCGTGCTCGTTTGCCACGCTGAGCCGTGTTCACTCTAACAGTGCTCGCCACTGTGCATGTCTTGAATTACGATACCCGTGAGCTGGGGTGATATACGCATAACTTGCCTTGCATTGTGGCGGACTCGGCAAACCCGCGACACCAATATACGCCATGTTTTAACTCCGAACGATTTATATGTTTACGATTGTGTTAAGAGCGATCTCGGTAGGCCTTTGATTATAGCATGCAATATTCTCAATGGATCGTAGTTAATCCCAGGTCAGCATTAGTGGATGCCAATCGCACATGATTCTGTCAACAGCAAGATTATTCCGAACAGAACTGGTTGATTGATTTATTTGTGGGGTTTAACGTCCCAAAACCACCATATGATTATGAGAGATGCCGTCGTGGAGGGCTACGAAAATTTCGACCACCTGGGGTTGTTTAACGTGCACCCAAATCTGAGCACTTGGGCCTACAACATTTCCGCCTCCATCGGAAATGCAGCCGCCGCAGCCGGGATTCTATCCCGCGACTAGCGGGTTGAACAGAACCTATTGGAACACCTCTTGAAATTCATGCAAACTGGCTATTCTAATTGAGATGCACAAACGTAGGCCACTTATTTTTTGGTTGTGCACTGAAAATGTATACTTCATGAACATAGCTCTTGTATCCTTTACATTTTCGAATAAATAAGTTATTGTTTTGCACTTGAGTGCGCTTCGAGTAATCGTTTTCAAATGCATAGAATACCATTATTACAAAGAAGAAAAACCTTCACCAGTTTTCCAAGTTCGATTCAGAATACTCAGTCGTAGGCTGAACGGAACTTCAAAAAATAACTAAGACAAGATTCATATCTGTTGAGTTAGTCTTGAAACAATCATGCGAAAAAAAAAAATGTGAGCCATGAAAAAAAAAAGTCGAACCTAGTCACTTGTTGTTGCTGGCTTAGCGCTGCATATATTGTCTAACGGCGATGACAGATTTCACCGTCGTTTCGTGCTGGTCACCTTGCAGCTACTGAATGCAATTTGGCCGTGTAGCGGATGGAGACGCGACCCCAGTCCGCTCGAATTACGACCATCGGTAATTCAGACTGCGCGTCCTGTCTCCGCTCGTAACTGACGTCAGGCGCAATACGGCACTCACCTTATGCGCGCGTTGTGGCTGTTGGAGACGGCTTGCGATCTGAGATGTGCTTTTTCGGGTGGGCGTGCACGCAGGATGAGACGTCGTGGGCCACTGTGCATGAACTGACCAGCGCTGCATCCTCCACCCCCCTACATATTTCGTTTCTATACTTCGCCGCTAGGTGCTCAGAAGCTTATCACCTCGCAAACTCCGGGACCTCAGAAACGTGTCGTGCCGTTTTCGTCAGTGCGAGACAGTTAATTGTTCACCTGCGTATACTTTGTGGCACGTTTTGTCTGCCCATGGGAAGTATGAATGAAGTGGCGTCGATGCAGCCGCACTCATTTCTTTTTTTTTTCGATTATTATTGCCGCGGGCCAGGATACTCCGGTTAGTCTTACCTACAGCGGAATCAGGCTGGAAAATATTCGCTTTGTATTGAGTACTTGAGAATGAGTTTTTTTCTGAATAAATTTGTCAGGCACTTTTTGTTTATTCACATTAAACAGTGTCGTCAGTCCAAGCAGCTCTCGCAGCCATAGTTGAAAGCCGCGAAAGAGAAAGAGAGAAAAAAGAAAGATTTTTTTAAAAGAAGTTGGTGCACTTCTGAGTAGCGAAGCGACAGTTTACGAGCACATCAGACAGATCAGACTGCGATATAAATGTGGGTTCAGATCCCGGCTGCGGCGGCTGCATTTCCGATGGAGGCGGAAATGTTGTAAGCCCGTGTGCTCAGATCATTTGGGTGCACGTTAAAGAACCCCAGGTGGTCAAAATTTCCGGAGCCCTTCACTACGGCGTCTTTCATAATCATATGGTGGTTTTGGGACGTTAAACCCCACATATTAATCAATCAATGCGATATAGATGTGTTAAATTACAAATAACAATATGTTGTCTCATACGGAAATTAAAAACGAATACACAGACCAAGAAATGATTTTTTCGAAAAAAAAATAAGGAGGCTCAGTATGATGTCTTTTGCAATACGCAAGGCGCGAAAGATTCCGTATGCATTTCAGGGACCTTAAGAAAATCTTCGTCAATTAGAAGTTCAATACGGCCACAGTGATTGGTTAATAAATAGGTTGGGGGGGGGGTTTAACGTCCCAAAATCGAGGTTTGATTATGAGGGATGCCGTAGTGGGGGGCTTCGGTAATATCGACCATCTGGAGTTCTTTAACGTGCACCTTAAAAAGTACACAGGTCTAAATAATTTTCGCCTTCAGCGAAAACACGGCTGTGGTGGCCGGGATTTGATCCGGCGACCTTCGGGATCAGCATTAGAGCACCATAACCACCGTGGCGCGTGGTGATGGGTTCGGCCGCAGTGCCCGTGCAGGCTATACTGCAACTTAGTCCATGTAAAGGCAGTGCAGCTGCTGGTCTAACTTAATCTATCATGCAACGTCTAGAAGGTTAAAAAGCAGTATAATCTGCTGTATTACCTACGCGCCAAAGCCATAACCCGAGGTACGCAGTAAAATTACTCTGCATCAACTTTTATCACCCGGAGTACTTTCTTATGTGGTTCTTAATGGTGCATTCAGACGACGGACCGAATCCGAATTTGTCGTGGACGCGGACGGCTAATCCGTGGATAATCCGCCTGCAGACTCATCCACATGACGGACGGTGTCCTAGGAGAAAACAGCCGGATTACCCTCGACAGCAGATTCGGCGCTCACTTGTGCCCGCTGGCAGCAGACCGGTTTGAGAGTGTTCAACATGGATGCCCGCAAGAAGCGAAGATTGGCTGCGATGTCTGTCACGTTGGGACAAATGAACGATGAGTGTTATTCTTTCAGTAGAAAAGGGAGTTGCTGGCAGAATATTCTTTCAACTACATCGTTCCCCTCTTGTAGAACTTCTGAACGCGTCTCCCATCCTTTTTTAGAAGCGGCACGTCGCCGGTTGTAGACGTTAGAATATTTCACCACCATGACAGCTAATAATCTCGCGTCTCAAACGACGGCGGCGACATTTCCCGAGCCACCAAAAGTGATTTCTGCGTATTTAATCACCTGAGAACAAAGCCCCCGGAAACTAAGTAAACCATGCTCAAGCGTAGATGATGCGGACCAGTCATGAAGCTGTCCGCGAGCCACGGATATGAAACCATACCACGGAGGAAGGAAAGGTGCCGCGAGCCATGGAGGACATGCCGCGAGCAGACGAAAAGTGTACTGGTTGCCAGAAACCCCGAGCTAATACACTAAAGTATCTGCTTTCTCCTGCCAGAATCCCGATGGGAGAAACAGGTTGGGGTCATCCGTCTGCGAGCCGCGCGGACGAGGGGAATCGCTGCTGTGAGGTCACGTGACGCGCCGTCCGTCCCGCCACATCCGGATTCGGTCCGTCGTCTGAATTCACCATAAAGGGAAAAGAAGAGAAAAGTGAGCCCCGTAACTGTCTGCAACAGGTGACACCTCAACAGTAGCTCACGAGGGATGGGGGGTACAAAAGGGATTAAAAGGATAGGATTAAAAAGTATATATATATACATATATATATATATATATATATATATATATATATATATATATATATATATATATATATAAGGGAAACAAGTGTATACTTAAGGGCTCGTTTTTTGTATTTTACACAATATTAATGAGATCTAACAGACAATAGTGCCAAGGAAGGTATAGGGGAAGTTATTAGGCCAATTGTAATGTAAATGAGAAGAAAGAAAAGTGGGTGAAAAGATAACTTGCCGTGGGCAGGATCCGAGCCTGCGACCTTCGAATAACACGTTCGATGCTCTACCACTGAGCTACCACGACAGCCATCCCCCCAGCCACTTTATTGGCTATCTATGTCAATTTAAACGTGGGAGTGTCAGTCAGCGCCACTAGTAGCCATGGCGGCGAGTGTCGTACACTCTTTATGAGCCTGTTTGGCGTCACGTAGCACGTGAAATTATCACTAACTTGCAGCGGACCAATAGTCCATCGTATACAACCTAGAGGCACCAAGTCTGCCAGTACGAGGCCCTCGTTAACGAATAAGGGAAACAAGTGTATACTTAAGGGCTCGTTTTTCGTGTTTTACACAATATTAATGAGATCTAACAGACAATAATGCCAAGGAAGGTATAGGGGAAGCTATTAGGCCAATTGTAATGTAAATGAGAAGAAAGAAAAGTGGGTGAAAAGATAACTTGCCGTGGGCAGGATCCGAACCTGCGACCTTCGAATAACGCGTTCGATGCCCTACCACTGAGCTACCACGACAGCCATCCCCCCTGCCACTTTATTGGGTATCTATGTCAATTTAAACGTGGGAGTGTCAGTCAGCGCCACTAGTAGCCATGGTGGCGAGTGTGGTACACACTTTATGAGCCTGTTTGGCGTCACGTAGCACGTGAACTTATTGCCATATATATATATATATATATATATATATATATATATATATATATATATATATATATATATATATATATATGTATATGTATATATATGTATATATGAAGGGGAGAGGGAGGCGCAGGGACAGCGAGTGACGGAAGTAAAGAGAAGATAGGAAAGATGGACATGGTCGCAGGAGTCCGAGGAAGGGGGAACCACTCGACGAGAGCTCTTCTCGGTGTCAGGAGATGGCGTAAGGGTAATCAAGTCGGCCAGAGCTACGCTGTCGTCGTCGTCGGGGATCGGCGTCAGGAGATGGCGTTGGACCAGCCCAGTCAGCCAGAGCTGCACTGTCGCCCGGAGAACTTAACGTGCGCGTAGATATAAGTGTACGGGTGTTCCTGCGTTTCGTCTACACAGAAATGCGGCTATCGAACCCACGTCCTGGAGCTTATCAGTGGTAAACCGAAGTCGCTAAGCTGCGGCAGTGGGTGCCCAAGTATGCGAACACGGCCTGCAGTCTTCCTACTTCAGAAGCAGAACTCGGCCGCTTACTGCGATACCACGGGATCGAAGGCAAGACTCGGCTTATACAACCCACTCGTCGTGGTGTGAACTGTGCACGAGGCATTAAAAGCACAGCAATGGTAGTTTCAACAACAACAACAACAACAACAACAACAACAACAACACAACAACAACAACAGCAACACAGCAGCAGCAGCAGCAGCAGCAGCAGCAGCAGCAGCAGCAGCAGCAGCAGCAGCAGCAGCAGCAGCAGCAGCAGCAGCAGCAGCAGCAGCAGCAGCAGCAGCAGCAGCAGCAGCAGCAGCAGCAGCAGCAGCAGCAGCAGCAGCAGCAGCAGCAGCAGCAGCAGCAGCAGCAGCAGCAGCAGCAGCAGCAGCAGCAGCAGCAGCAGCAGCAGCAGCAGCAGCAGCAGCAGCAGCAGCAGCAGCAGCAGCAGAGCAGCAGCAGCAGCAGCAGCAGCAGCAGCAGCAGCAGCAGCAGCAGCAGCAGCAGCAGCAGCAGCAGCAGCAGCAGCAGCAGCAGCAGCAGCAGCAGCAGCAGCAGCAGCAGCAGCAGCAGCAGCAGCAGCAGCAGCAGCAGCAGCAGCAGCAGCAGCAGCAGCAGCAGCAGCAGCAGCAGCAGCAGCAGCAGCAGCAGCAGCAGCAGAGCAGCAGCAGCAGCAGCAGCAGCAGCAGCAGCAGCAGCAGCAGCAGCAGCAGCAGCAGCAGCAGCAGCAGCAGCAGCAGCAGCAGCAGCAGCAGCAGCAGCAGCAGCAGCAGCGCAGCAGCAGCAGCAGCACAGCAGCAGCAGCAGCAGCAGCAGCAGCGCAGCAGCAGCAGCAGCCAGCAGCAGCAGCAGCAGCAGCAGAGCAGCAGCAGCAGCAGCAGCACAGCAGCAGCAGCAGCAGCAGCAGCAGCAGCAGCAGCAGCAGCAGCAGCAGCAGCAGCAGCAGCAGCAGCAGCAGCAGCAGCAGCAGCAGCAGCGCAGCAGCAGCAGCAGCAGCAGCAGCAGCAGCAGCAGCAGCAGCAGCAGCAGCAAGCAGCAGCAGCAGCGCAGCAGCAGCAGCAGCAGCAGCAGCAGCAGCAGAGCAGCAGCAGCAGCAGCAGCAGCAGCAGCAG